TTTAGGGCTGAATAATATTCTATAGTGTACATATTCCACATTTTTTATTCAGTCATCAGCTGGTGAATACCTAGCTTAATTCCATGTCTTTGCTATTGTTAACTCCAGCTACCATTAACATGGGAGTGCAGACATCTTTGTATACTGACTTCATTTTCTTCATGCATATTCTGGAAGTGGCATAACTGGGCCATATGGAAGGTTCATTTTTTAGTTTTTTGAGAAAAAAGTTAAATAAAGTTTCCCATAATGGTTGTACTAATCTACACTCCAACCAATCCTGTATGGTGTTTCCCTTTTCTCCACATGCTTGCCAGCTCTTATAGTTTAACATTTGGACCATAGCCATTCTAACTGGAGTGACATGATGCCTCACTGCAGTTTCCATTTGTATTTCTTGGATGACCTGTATGCCTGAGCATTTTTTGTGTAGCTGTTGGCCATTTATATTTACATTTCTTCTTTTGAAGAATAACTCTACACATCCTTTGTTAGTTACTTAACTAGATCGACCCTATTGTTATTGGATTTCTTGAGCTCCTTATGTGCTGTGATTATTACTTTTCAGTTTGCAATTATTTTTACCATTCTGTCAGTTGTCTCTTTACTTTGTTAATCATTTTTTTTTTTTTTGCTGTGCCAAGTCATTACTTATCAACAGTCACCTTGAATGTAAGTGACCTCAGCTCTCCAGTTAAAAGATACAGACAGGTGGAGTGTACTAAAAAATGAAACTCACCTATTTTCTGCCTACAATAAACACATCTCACCAACAAAGATAACAGCAGACTGAAAATGAAAGTATAGAAAAAATTCCATGCTAACAGAAACCCAAAAAGAGCTGGTACAGCCATCCTAATATCAGATGAAATAGACTTTGATACAAAAACTTAAGAGAGACAAACAAGGGCACTATGCAATGTTTAAGGGATCAATTCAACAGGAAGATGTGACTATAATAAACATATATGCACTTAATTACAGGGCACCTGGCTATATAGAAAGAAATGTTAATGGACCTGAAGGGAGACAGAGACTCCAATACAATAATAATGGGGGACTTCAATACCCCACTTTCAGCAATGCCCAGATCAATCAGACAGAAAAAAAAAAAAAAAAAAAAAAAAAAAAAAAAAAAAAACAAGGAAATAAGGAAATGATAGACTTATTCAGCACTACGGACCAACCGAACCTAACAGAGCTTTTCATCTTACAGTTGCAGAATACACCAGTGTGCCAGTGCATGGAACTTTCTCTAGGATAGATCACAGCCAGTTGGTCACTACATTACTTCACCCACAGTACTGCATCACGATTGGTAACACTTAGAAGACTTCTAATCCACCACTGGCCACACCTAAAAACTAACATTTACTTGGTGACACCCAAAAAGGATTGGCCTGTGATTAGTGATTAGTGACACCCTACAGCACATTCACCACCCACCTACCCCAGAGAGGGGATAAAAAGCCAGCCTCACAACTGCTCTCCATCCTCTTAGGGAACCATGGCTCACTGCAAGTGATGACCCAGTGGATCTGCCCCACCTTGCCGAAACTCTGCTCACTACTGTACTAGACCCGACCTCTCCTGGGCACCTTAGCTGTGGCCAGAGCTGACACTGAAGCTGGACCAAACTTCTATGTCTCAGCATTCGACATAGGACCTCCGGTGGACAGCATTGGTGACTTCTTCAATGCTTTACTGTCACCATCTGTCTTAGAACTGTGAACCTACTGCCCAGAGTGCCAGCCATTCATGACTACTGTGCATGAGTTACTGTTCTGAGATCCATCTCTCTGAGCGGTAACGGAGACTTTGGACTTTGGACTTTGGACTTTGGACTTTGGACTTCAACTTTCGTGACCATGATACGAACCTTGAGAACACAGCATTCATATTATGCTTTTAGCCATGAGTGTTTAGATTGATTATGCTTTTTATACTTTATACTTATTACTATTACAGGATGTTTTTTAGATTGTCTTACTCCTAGATGTGTGTTATGACCTGTGGACTAATGATGTATTAAGGTATTGACCTTTAGATGTGTGCACTGAATATGTATTGAGTGATGTTGCACAGTAAATCACATTGAAAAGATGATCACGATTCTTCCCTGTGCTCCAACATATCACATGTCGCCTTAGGCTTGTTGAGTTCCGTGACAAGTGGCACTCCCGACAAACATAGAGAGGGTTTTGGTTACATATAAACCATAAAACAGAAGATGGATCAGTCCAAGATAGAGCAGAAGGTGGAAGAGGTGTAAAGTAGAAAAGAATGCCCCAGGGGATGAAGAGGTTAGGCATTGAGGGCAGGGCAGCTGGATAGTCTTCTACTCTCAGAAGATGATTGCAGGATTTGGGATGAAAAGACTCCTTCCATCACCCACCCCTATGCTGTGTTTGATTATATCTTGGTGACTCAAAGGCATCTCAAACTCAACATGATAGCCATCTCCTCTAAGCCTAACTTCTTTCCATCGTCCGTCTCTCAGGAATTACTCCGAATTCCATTCAACTACATAAGATAAGAATTTAAGGACCATCCTTGGCACCTGCACTCCTCAGGTTCTGTCTACTTAGCCTCCTGAACTCCTATTCCTTCAATCTGCCCCCTTTCCACCACTGCCACCATCGTTTCTCTAATGAGCCACCACCTCTTACCTGAACTGATAGAAGAGCTAACCAGTCAGCAATCTGTTAGCTACAGAGCATCAAAGACACCTTATAGGGAATGAATATATTAATATATTTGTATAATGTGGAGAAAGAACACAGATGGGAGCTCAATACTTTCATCCTGGGGTCAGAATCCTGGAGACATTCAAATGCCTCAAGACATTTATCTCTTGTAAAGTAGTAAAAATCATTTCTTCAGCACATATTTATTAAATTCTAATATTGTGGCAGATACTCTTTTATTAAACAATAACAAAAACAACAAACCCTAATTTCCATGAAGTTTGTGAGTCCATACAGCAAGGTAGATATGGTTTAATGGCAGAAATACATAAATAGCACAATGATTAGTTTGTATGATAGGAATTACGTGGTTTACAATAGGAGGTAGGATGATTGAAAGTGTTCAGGGCAGGGCCGGTGCCGCGGCTCAACAGGCTAATCCTCCGCCTAGCAGCGCCAGCACACCGGGTTCTAGTCCCAGTTTGGGCGCCGGATTCTGTCCCGGTTGCCCCTCTTCCAGGCCAGCTCTCTGCTGTGGCCCACTGTGGACTGGGAGTGCAGCGGAGGATGGCTCAAGTACTTGGCCCTGCACCCCATTGGAGACCAGGATAAGCACCTGGCTCCCGCCTTCAGGTCAGCGCAGTGTGCAAAGGTCTTCCTTTGCCATTGGTTCACCCTCCACGCTGATCCGATGGCAGGAGCCAGGTGCTTCTCCTGGTCTCCCATGGGGTGCAGGGCCCAAGCACTTGGGCCATCCTCCACTGCACTCCTGGGCCACAGCAGAGAGCTTGCCTGGAAGAGGGGCAACTGGGACAGAATCCGGCGCCCCGATTGGGACTAGAACCCGGGTTTTGATGGGAGGGCCCAGCGCTGTGGTACAGTGGGTGAAGCCACATTTGCGATGCCAGTATCTCATATTAGAGTGTGGATGCCAGTCTCAGCTGCTGTATTTCAGCTCTGGCTTCCTGCTAAGGTGACTGGGAAGGCAGCCATGGCCCAAGTCTACCCCTGTGGAAGACCAGGATGGAATTCCTGACTCCTGGCTTCAGCCTGGCCCAAGTCTGAACATTGTGGTCACTTGGGGAGTGAATCTACACATGGAAGTAACTCACCATCACTCTTCAATTAAATAAATCAAAAGAAAGGAATTTTGGTGGGAAATTAGGCACCCACCTGACAGTCTGATTTGATGCATTTTATCTTTGTTTCCTAATTTTAAAGAAATCTTAAAAGAATTCATGTTTCCTTCAGCTAATAATTTTAAAATGACTGCCTTGATTATTTAGGGATAGATTTAATAGCTGGTATAGTTGTTTACAGAAATGTCTTTAACTTAAGGCAGCTTGCATGGGCGCCAGTTCTAGTCCGGGCTGCTCCTCTTCCAATCCAGCTCTCTGCTGTGGCCTGTGAAAGCAGCAGAAGATGGCCCAAGTGCTTGGGCCCCTGCACCCGCTTGGGAGACCTGGAAGAAACTCCTGGTCTCAGATCCGAACAGCTCCAGCAGTTGTGGCCATCTGGGGAGTGAACGAGCGGATGGAAGACCTCTTTCTCTGTCTCTACCTCTCTCTGTAACTCTTTCAAATAAATCTTTTTTTTTTTTTTAAAGGAGCTTGCATTGAGAGATGAAGTTTATGCCTTTATCTTTCCATTTCCCATGAGCTTTTGTGTAGTCTTGTCATCTAGTACTCACCACATTAAGTTTGTTAGTGATAGCACACTTCTGGTCAGCAGGTATGTTAGGGGGTCACTTACTCACTAGGGTATCGTAAGTCCCCAAAAAGGACTTGTACCCTAGTGAGACCTCAAAACAAGTTAACTGTGGCAACTTGATCTGTGAGTACAGGCTGGGGTGAACACTGCAGGACCCTGGGTGGATGTTGTCTGAGAATGGCCCGTAAGGCCCATTAAAGCTGAGGTTTAGCCACAAGTACCCAGTTTGGTCAAATCAGAAAACTGGGACCTGCGTGAGTCACCAGCTCAGAGACACACATCACAGCCCATATGCACACCTGTTCAAGTCCCAGCTGCTGCACTTAACATCCAGCTTCCTGCTAATGTGCCTGGGAAAGCAGAGGATGGCCCAAATACTTCAGCTCCTCACCCCCATGGGAGACCCTGAAGATGCGTCTAGCTCTGCTGAGGCCATATGGGGAGTGAACAAGTGATGGAAGCTCTGTCTCTCCATCTCTGTAGCTCGGGTTTTCAAATATATATAATTATAAAAATCAGAAATCCGAAACTCTAGCTGAATTATCCCAAGTGGTTAATCAAAAGATTTCAAACTAACCGGTTTTAGTTGGCTTTGTTTCTCACCTGGACACGTGCTGCAGACATGACATGTGCTTTCCACAAACAGGACCATTCCAGAACGTTTCATCAAAAATCCAGAGAGACCCCCGGCCCTAAAAAGTACAAAACCGTCTGCTTAACGCAGTCCCCTGCTCTGCCCGCTGAATGAAGCTGTGCGGACCCCACCATGTTTACTGCACCACGGACTCAGGGCGAGCTCAGGCTGGAGACACCCATGACTAACGGGAATGAAACTCAAAGCCACCGCAACTCCAAAGTCCAGCGGCGTCATTTCAGCGGGCCTCAAGACTCGCAGGCCCTCGCCCCTCGCGGGCCGCACCTCCGAGGGGCGCGGCCGCGCGCGCTTCCTGTGCGTCTCCCTTTCCTCACCTGGAAAACGCAGATAAAACTAGGTGCGGCCTCGCAGGGTTATTAAGGGAAGCGAAAGACACGTGCCGCGCCAGGCCAGGCCTGGGGGACGCGCCCTGCTCGCCAACGGCACTGCAACAAAACACGCGTGCCCCTCAAAGACCCTCGCTCCGCGCTGAACCCCCAGGCCGGCGTCGCGCCAGGAGGCGGCCCTGCGGGAGAGGCGATCGCGCAGCCCCTCGGTGCGCGCCAGCCGCGCCGCTGCGCCCGGAGACAATGGGCGCAGCGGCGGAACCGCGCCGCCCGGCCCCGCCGGCGCCCCGCATCCGGGCTGCCGGCGCACACATCCCGCCTTTGTTTCCCCGCCGCCGGCCGCGCGTGTCGCCGCCGTGGCTCCCCCACCGCGCTCTTCCGCCGCTGCGCCGCGCCGGGGGCCGGGGGGGGGGTGTCGAGCAGGAAGCGCGGGCCGCCGCCCGCCGCGCTCGGGGAAGGCTGCGCGCCGTGATAAGCGCTTCCTGGCCCATTGTGTGCGCGCTGCGGCCGCCCAGTGAAAGTGCCCGGTCCGGCGGGGCGCGCGCCGTGCGCTCCAGCGCCGCGGCACCGTGCGGAGGCAGCTCCGCGGCGCCGCGGGCCGGGCTTGGAGAGGGGTTGGCGGGGACCGGGTTAGATGGATCGCGTCGCTGAGCCCGGGAGAAACTCTGGCCCCCGGATATTCGAGGCCAAGGGGCGTTCAAGGGCGCCGCCCGGAATTAGATGAGCTGTGTTCTCCATACCGGTGCATGTAATGTTGACACGCGCCGGGGGCACCGTGCAGTGTGCAGTGTGGCTGTTCACAAGATAATCACCGAACTGATGCCCGGGGATGGTGGTTGGAAGTTGCATGGTGATTATTTTTTTTCCCCTGTAGTCCGTTCAGTGCAAGGTCCTGACCCTGCAACTTTCTTTAGAGATCCCTGAGGTTTTAGGTGCAAACGTGAGATCCTTTGCTGAAGAAAGCCCAGACCCAAGGGGCTCTCGTTCCGGGACCCCCCACCCCGACCACCCCGACCCCCAGAGAAGGCCTGCAGGGTCTGAGCTTCGCCTCCTGCTCCAGGGTGCACGCACTTTAACCGCGTCCTCTGTGTTGCGGCTGCTTCTCCATCTGGCAGACCCAGAGCTGTTAGTTACTGATCATTCCACCCAGAACGTAGGAGAACACCCGGGTGATCCACGCCTCTGCTCTTGTATGTATACAGGCCTGTCGCATTGCATGCATTTCAGACCACCCGGCTATCTCTGCCTCCGTGCACTGCTCTAGGTGAGCTTCTGTAGGCTGCACTGAGGGCCTGTGGAAAAAAAGTAAAACGTGCTCTTCCAAGGATGCAGACGCGTCAGTCTCAGAACACCCTTCCTGGCTGCCCAGCGCCAGCCCTGCACAAGTCCTGGAGCTGTTTGGTAACTGAATCGTAGGTGACGGAGGGCACCTTGCCTTCTGCCTGTCTGTTGAGCCCATTGAACACCACCACCTCCCTAGAGGAAAAAGCAGGTGTGAGTCTATTTTCAGTTGCTCCCTGGACACACTCGGTGTGTGATGGTGTTGACTGCATGCGTGTTGGTGCTCTTGACTTCTACCTTGAACTGGTTGAAACGTCTACCCGGTTCGTTCATCTTCCAGGAATAAAATAAGCTCTCTGATGTGTGCAGTGGTTTGAGTGTGTTTTCCCAGTGCTCCTGTGCTGCAGGATTAACCCTCAAGTTGGTATGTTGGTGGTATTTGGAGGTGGGTTCTTTGGGAGGTAACTGGGATTTGATGAGGTCACAAAGGTTGGGTCCCATGATGGGATTAATGGCCTTATAAGGAGATAGAGAGAGCTCATGGTACACATACTCTCCCCACTAGCCAATCTCTTTTGCCTCCACCAGATACTGGCCGCCTGTCCCTGGCTTGCCTGGCTCTGGAACTGTAAGAAACAGATTCCTTTGTTTTACAGATTCAGATTTCTCAATCTGTGGCATCCTGTAAGAGAACAGCAAGTGGACTAGGACATGCCTTCATATTTTATCTGTATGCAAGTCATGATTTTACCTTTTCCTGAAAATTATATTTTAACAGGCCTTCCAATTAAGAGTATGACAAATCAAAAAGATAACAGGAAGGGAAAGGCAGGAAAAAATTAGCGGCAGCTTTAGTTCACCATGCAGGAGGTAAATTCGTTAATTTGTTCATTACCTATATGAAGCACTAAGTGAGAGTTTATTGCAGTGGGAGGCTAATGTGAAGCAATTATTGTCTCTGAATTATTTTTATGAAGTAGTGAAGAAATGGGAGGAAGTAGGAAAAGCCCCAGAATTGTGGTCAGGACAGCTCCATTCAAGTCAAGGGTGCTGCTGCTTATAGATTGTGACCCAGCAAGTTACTTAGTGTTTTAGACCTCAGTTTCCTTATCTGTAAACTGGGACCGTTACTATCTGCACCCCAGGGTGGTTAAGGACATAAATGAGATTGTGTGAAAGTGCTGCTACTCAGGAAATTTGGGCTGACTACCCAGTGGCATTCTGTTCATTGTTCAGGGACAAAGATTCGGGAAAAGGCAAGGTGGCACAAGATACTGCAGCTGAGGTGCTACCAACACACAGCCGGGAGGGATTCAGAGGCAGACTGAACTTGGCTTTCAGGACATATACTGTGCTGTGTGGCTGTGAACAAAGGAAAAAATCATCTCTCCGAACCACTTCGTTATTTGAACTGAGAGATTGAATCTTCTGAGACAGCTGTGGGGCTTGAAAACGATGACTGTAAAGTTTGCCTTGAAGCTGGGTGCAGAAGAAAGAACACGCTGACTCAATGGTGCCTTCAGATCAAGCGTATCAGAGTGAGTAAGCTCAGCCTGTGGCTGGGACCGTGACTCCTGACCAACAGTCATAGGTGAGCATTTCCCAGACAAGCATCTATGGAAGACAAGGAAAGCCATGGTTCTTTCTTTTTAAAGAAACCACCAGGAAGCCAAGTTCTTCCTTGCAACTTGGACATACTCTCCTTGGAGTGGCTGCCGACTAAAGAAATATAACACTCCCTTCAAACTAAGCTGCCAAGTCTATCTCTTCAGGGAGAAAGGAGAGTTTAGTTGCCATCTGTAACCATGACCACCACTGACATTTAAGGGAGTAGAAGCCTCCAGAACCCAACAGAGAAATCCACGTGGTTACAAGCTTTCCTTAATGTCCTTCGGGATGTGGACTGTTTTTAGTCTGTGGCAAGGACAAAGTATTCTTTTCAGTGCATCTGGTGGGTGACAAGGGGGGACAGGGACTCAAGCTGTCAAGTCAAGGTGACCACAGTTCACTCTAGGAAAACTTCAAGGAGAACTCTTGGCTCTTTCCCCCTTAGATAGGTAAGGGCACAGCTGAGGCCAGTCCCAGCCACTGCCTCCACATACCGACCAGTAACAGCCAACGTGGCCTGTCACAGATCAAAGATGACCAATACAGCAATCTGGTTCTCCTTCTAAAATTCAGGAGTGGGAGACAGAGAAGCGTCAGCAGTCAAGAGTGGGAAGGGAAGCTTTAAAAATAATGGCGCGAGGCAGAGTCAGGCACCTGAAGACTTGGAACAGATACAATGAATGAGGCCATATGACCAGTGAGCAGGTGGAAGTGGGAATAGACAAGAGTTAAAGAGAGCCCAGGCAAGGAATGGGCCGCAGAGATTGCTGGCTTGCTCTCTCCTTTTCCATAAGGTGCAGTCACCCTCGGGCAGGAGCTGCCCAGCTTGATCAACATTTCCCAGTTCTTAGTGCAGCCACAGAAATTGTGTGTGTTACCCCTGACCTGGCATTCCTAGAGTGACGACGGATTCTTCTCCTTCTGCATTGACACAGGTTCGGTATGAACAATGTCAAAGCCCAACGGGACCAAAGTCACAAGGAAGGGGCCTACTTCTCTGAATCGTCACGGGATGAGAGACGCTCAGGGACATGGATACTGGCATTGGGCCTTTTCTTGACTGAATAGCAGACTCCTGTTGTAATAAGTCAGCCTAATTTACACATGTAAGAAAAGCAGAAAAATAGTGGAGAAATCATGGGATTATGAGCCTGGTAAAAAGACAGATAGGCTAGGTCTAGACAGAGTTATTTGAATTCCTGCAGGTTTTGCTGCAAGTCCTCATTTGCATGTATGGTTAAAATGCATCTCCCTTTCAGAGGGAGAGATCTGCAAATATGCAAATACAAATATATATATATACATACGCATATGCACTTAGAAGAAACTTAAACTTTTTATCTTTTATATATATATATATTTCAAAATTTCTAACAATGGTTTGTGTTCTCTTTGTAACAAACACCGGCATGCATGTATTCCTACACACACAATTTGCTACATCTGATAATAACAAATATTCTTCTATTGAGTTAGGACCCCAAATTCCCAAAAAGTAAAAGAAAATATTTACTGTAGGAAAGGTGGGGCAAATAAGCAGTAAAAGAGTGGCCTCCACTTTCTGAGGCAGATGTTTCCCATAGAATAATAAATATCCAAAAGTAGGCTCTGATTTTCCCAGGAAGAAGCAGTAACAAGATTTCCAGGGAGGTTTCACATTGTTTGTCACCACTGAGCAGGACTGAACAGAAATCTTTTACTCTGTAAGGATTCAAATAGATCACTTATGCACTAAAATATTTCTCCAATAAACCTGGGAGTAAAAAGGACATTTGTCAACTGAAAATTCCAACTTCATAGAGAAAAAACATTCTCTCCAAGTTAATTAGGGACTTTGAGGAACCACTTTTGTGTTGAGAGGTACTTGGAACTTTCTCCTGTGGCCCAAAAATATATCAAAAACTGTAAGAGGAAAGAAGAAGGAGAAGGAGGAGGAGGAAAGAAGAAGAAGAGAAACACAAAGGAGAAATAAAAATGTGAAAGAAAACAAAAAGAGGAAGAGAAATCAAAGGAGCACAACAAGGCAAAGCAATATTTTCTCTTGACACCCAAGGCCGCCGTGTGCAGAAACAGGGGCAAGGGGGTGTCAATTTCTGTTGTGGATGCAAAGGACAATAGCAGCCTGACAACCCTAACACACAGAAAAAAAATGAGCATCACAGCGATTTTTGAGCGTCCTTTGAAAGTTGGTGGAAAATGTGATATGCTGCATTTTTAAGTGTGTGAAGATGAGCCACGGGCAGCACGTATTCAAGCAAACTTTGGTTGTAGGTGGTTTTTATGGGCTCTCTGTATTCTAAACATTCAAACTGCAGGCACAAAAGCAGGAAATCTACAAAACGTGGAGCTGTGCCGGTTTTTCTTATTTTATTTTATGTGCCCAAGGAATGTGAACTGAGTGCCTATCAGCATTAACGATCTCAATCCTAATCACAGGCAGCTACACACACCCCCGCCCTGTACCCAGGATCTATTCTGAGAAAGTGAATCATCTCTTTTGTAATATGATGTTCCTGGAATTCTTGGAGACTTCCCAAGTGTGGGCAGGAGAGGAGCCTATCTGTACAGCATGGACGCATAGGATGCTTAATTTTAATGGAAAACTCGTCTCTTCTTTCTGACACAGGCAGATCCTGCTGTGCTTGACAAATACGTTCTACAAGGAAGCTCAATCTAGATGTTATGTGTAACTTTATCTTATTCCCTTTTGAGTACTCCTGTTCTTACAAAGTGGTCTCTCTGCTGCCCGGAGTCATTACACCCCTTCCCTCTCACATTGTCCCTCTGTAAATGTCAGGCATAACTACATTTTTATTTGCAGAGATACCACTGCTATGAATGAGGAGGAATTTTCTGCTCCCCCGCCTCTCTCTCTTTACCCTGTGTGCATTCTACTAATATGATTTGTTGAACAAATTGTTCCATTAATCTGGGGCTGTTTGACAGAGTGAGAAAATAAGTGCCAAAGTGAGAAGATTCACAAGAATCGGAAGTCTCAGTGCCTCTTTCTCAAGGTAAATAGTTATTATATCAGGGTGTCAGACTGCTGAAATGGATGTGCCTTCATTCCCAGTTTGTAAATGTCACTTTTCCTCAGCCCATCAGGGTGACAAATGAGGTGTGGGTTACAGTGAGAGTTCATTCTTTGACAAAGTTCTCAACAGTCTATTTCAGCAGAGGGCAGCCAGCCTCCTCCACCCTTAGAATCCAAAGCCCTACCAGAGCCAGACACTTCCTAGCTCCCCTCCTACCACCTCACTGCAATCCTCAAAGGGAAGCACCTCTAGCAAATTTTAAAGTCTCAAGAAAAGGTAGAAACAAATAGATGAGAAGGTGCGTTATAGAGCACAACACAGTTTTTACAGTTTCTCTGGTTCTCAAGATTTTGTGGTCCCAAGAAAATTTATAGTATTAAATTGTCCTTGTTTGATCTTTCCTTTTTTTCCTTTTAAATGATTCTTAATAGCTTTTTAATACTAGTTAATCAATAAGCATATATTGAAGAAATAATTCAGGTGAACAAGTTGCCATAATAGTAATGAGTGAGCCAGGGAGTAGCTGAAGGAACAGTGAACTTGCACCTGATTAAAATCCTTTCCACCCAAAGATATTGCTTTGATGAACTTAAGACGTGTAATATTTGAACATCAGTAGGAGATGTTGATTTTATAAGTACTTTTAAAATAAGCGTAAGATAATATGTGCAGAATATACAAGAAAAAAATGCCATAATGGGCAGCAGTAGGTGATGAAAACACCAATATGTTTTCTAGTTTTCTACTTTGTGGTGTGTAGCTTGACACTTACCCCAG